AACACTTCAAAGTTATAGATTACATTTTCTTTCATATGAGATTTAAATCACTTTTCTACCATTCTTTGTCATTTCACAGGTAGAGATACCTTAGCAGAAGGTCACACAAGTGAGTCAGTTGGTGGCAGAAATAATAATAAACTTAGGAGTCCTCTTTCACAGCACAATATTCTGAGTACTGAATCCACTTGAAATATTATGGTCTCATAGAAGATAAACTGCTGTTATGATGATGATGATCATAATAATAGTATTATTAAAATTAAAATTATTTTTACATTTGTGTTTGAAACACTGTTCTAAGCCCTTTGCATGTATTTATTTAGTTATGCCTTATGACCCTGTAAGGTAGGTTTGCAAATGAGAAAGTTGCAATTATTCTCTATATTACAGATGAGGAAATTGCTCCATCTTTGAATTTCCTATATGATAGAATGCATATCACTTCACCTCTGTGAAGGGTCTCTGGTTTAGAGACCATTTCTTTTTTGTTTTTTTTTGAGTTGGAGTCTCACTCTGTTACTCAGGCTGAAGTGCAGTGGCATGCTCCTGGCCACCACAGCCTCAACCTGCTGGGCTCTGGCAATCCTTCCACCTCAGCGTTCCAAGTAGCCAGAACTACAGACATGCGCTACCATACCCGGCTATTTTTAATTTATTGTAGAGACGAGGTCTCGCCAAGTTGCCTGGGGTAGTCTCAAACCCGTGAGCTCAGATAATCCACTCGCCTTGGCCTCCCAAAGTGCTGGGATTACAGGCTGAGCCACCAAGCCCGGCCTAGAGACATTTGTATTCCTCTTAGTACTAAACACAAAGCTGGAGGCATAGCAACTGTGAATCTTCTATTTCACTGTTTATATGGTTGGAGCAGATGAATAGTTCTCACAGCCCTGGCCTTGGAATTGATGCAGGGATTTTGGGCCTTTTTCCTTATACAAAAACTGAAGAATGCTTTGCTGCCACTTGTTAATCTTTTGGTTTAAGCACTGCAATATAAAATACAGGATGCTCAATTTAATCCGAATCAAAGATAAACAACATTTTAGAGTAAGTGTGTCCCAAGTATTACAAATGACATAGTACTTGTAATAAAACAAATTATTTGTTGTTTATTTGAAATTTAAATGGAACTAGATATCTTATTTTTTTATTTGCTAAATCTGGTAACTCTTTTTAGTGTTCATACAATTATAGCTTTAAAGGAAGTCCCAAAAAGATAGAGCTATCATTTTCTTCTTAAATGCTATAAGCCTTGAAGAAATTAAGATATTCTGATCTCTTCTGACCTCAACCTGTGTTCTATCTTGAGTCAAAGGCACCTGTAGTTGCCTTATGAGAGGAACAAGCATTCCTTTCATTTTGCCAGCTGGACACTTACTAGGTGCATGATCCACAATATCTTGAGTCCTACTGCCTTCCAACTCTAAACACTCTTTCATTCTAACTCTCAAGTGTCTAAACCAGGTTTTACTTTTCCCAACTAGTATTCTTGCTTCAACCACCCTGCATGAAAACATGAATTATGAAATGTCTTCACGAGTATGGTAGGCAATTGCCTGGTACAGTGCATGGCCTTGGACTCCTAGAAATTTAGGTATTGGTGGTTGTTATATAATGATAGTAGAGTAAAATTCTTCTTACTGTTCTAGTACCCACAATTCTCCTTTTCATATGTGAGCCACACCTTACCTTCAATCACTTTGTCAGCCTCAGATTTAAAGACTTTTTTACATTTTCAGTTGATCGCATTCTTCTTGCTTAATACTGTGCTATTGATTTCATCAGGAAAGAGACTAATTCATCCTTGTACACTTATCTCTAAGCTGAAATAAAGTAATCCTTCAACTGACGTTTACAGACTCCTTCTCAGGCGCCCCCCACAACCTGTTTTAGTTTATAGAGTGAATCACAACTCACATACTAGAAATTTCAGCAGCATCTTTGGTCCGCCTTTCGGTTCAAATCCAGATCTCACATGTCAGCTAGTCTTACAGATTCTGCCCCTGGAATGTCTTTTGAGTTTTTCCCACTGTACTCAAACTCTTTGAACTCAGACAGTCTCCATCCCTATTCTGGTCAGTTGCCTCCTGACTTACCCACCTTCTTCACATCCATCATAAATCACTTCCTCAACATAGATCTGATCATGGTCGTATTTTGCCTAAAGCTCCCTGGCAAGTCTGATTACTATTCAGTCTTTTAGCATGATTTTCACAAACTAGTTGCAAACTATTTTTTCCTTCTTTTAATTTATTTCTTTCTTATAGGGTCTTGCTTTGTCAACCAGCCTGGAGTGCAGTGGCACAATCATAGCTCATTGCAGCCACAAACTCTTGAGCCCAGGTGATCTTCCCGCCTCAGCTTCCTGAGTAGCTGGGACTACAGGTGCATGCCACCACACCTGGCTGATTTTTTAATTTTAATTTTTTTTTTTTTGAGTTGGGAGTCTCACTCGGTTGCCCAAACTGGAGTGCAGTGGCCACTCCCGGCCACCACAGCCTCGCCTGCTGGGCTTCGACGATCCTTCTGCCTCAGCCTTCCAAGTAGCCGAAATTACAGGCATGCGCTACCACGCCCGGCTGATTTTTTTTTGATTTATTGTAGAGATGAGGTCTCGCTGCCCAGGCGGGTCTTGAACCCGCGGGCTCAGGTAATCCACTTACCTCAGCCTCCCAAAGGCACGGGATTACAGGCTGAGCCACCGAGCCTGGCTAATTTTAATTGTTTTAGAGACAAGGTCTCATTATGTTACCCAGGCTGGTCTCAATCTCCTAGGTTTAAGTGATCCTCCCACATTGGCCTTCTGAGTTGCTGGGATTATAGGTATGAGCCACCATGCCCAGTGCAAACTATCTTCTGTACTCTTTTTAAAAAATTTTTTAACAATTCAAGGTTAGGTATACAAATGTTTATTATGCAGTACCCTTGTTGATGAGGTGTCCTCCCACTTCCCCAAGAAGATTCCCACTATTGCCAGTCCCACTTCCCTGTCCCCCTCCGGGCAGTTTCCCACTACTGCCAGTCCTTTTCTTATAGTATTACAATAATTGTTCAAGGTCCGCTAATGAGTGAGAACAGGTGATACTCAGTTCTTTGTTTCTGTGAAACATCACTCAGTATTACAGACTCTAAGTCCATCCAGGTTGCTGTGAAGTTTATGATTTTGTTCTTCTTTATGGCTGTGTAATAGTCCGTCGTGTATCTGTACCACTTTTTTTATCCAGTCTTCTTTTGATGGGCAGCACAGTTGGTTCCATGTTCTTGCTACTGTGAACAATGCTGTGATAAACGTATGTGTGCAGGTATCTTTCTTATAGAGTGATTTGAGTTCTTCCAGGTATATTCCTGGTAGGTAATTGTGAGGTCATATGGAAGGTCGATTTTTAGATCTTTTAGGAATCGCCACACTGTTTTCCACAGAGGCTGCACCAGTTTACACTCCCACCAACAGTGTAGAAGTCTTCCCCTTTCTCCACATCCTCTCCAGCATGTTGTTTCTTGAGTTATTGATGATAGTCATCTTGATTGGAGTTAGGTGGTATCTCAGTGTAATTTTAATTTGAATTTCTTTGACGACTACTGAGGCTGAGCGTTTTTTCATGTATCTGTTGGCTGTTCCTATGTCTTCTTTTGAGAAGTGTCTATTCATATCTTTTGCCCAAGTTGTAATGGGGGTGTTTGTTTTTTTCTTTTCGGCACGTTTGAGTTCTTATAGATCCTAGATGTTAGGCCTTTATCAGACATACAGTTGGCAAATATATTTTCCCAGTCTATGAGCTGTCTCCCCACTCTCTTGATTTTTTTTGGCTTTGCAGAAGCTTGTCAGTTTGATGAGGTCCCACTTGTCTATCTTATCTCTTATGGCATGGGCACTTGGGGTTTTGATCAGGAATTGGTTGCCAGTTCCAATTTCCATAAGGGTGTCTCCTGCATTTTCTAAGCTTCTTATAGTTTAAGGTTTTACGTTTAGGTCTCTGATCCATTCAGAGTTGATTTTTGCATATGGGGATAGGTAGGGGTCCTGTTTCAATCTTCTACATGTGGTCATCCAGTTTTCCCAGCACCATTTACTGAATAGGTTCTCCTTTCCCCAGTGGTGGTGGTGGATGCTTTTCGAAGATGAGTTGGTTGAGAAATTGAGGTTTTGCTTCTGGAATCTCAATTCAATTCCATTGGTCTATATGCCTGTTTTCATACCAATACCAGGCTGTTTTTATTATTGTAGCTTTATAATAGAGTTTAACATCTGGGAGTGTGATGCCTCCTACTTTTTTTTTTTTTTTTCCTTGAGGATTGTTTTGACTTCGTGGTTGTTTATGTTTCCGTATGAATTCCTGTATTGTCATTTCCAGGTCTGAGAAGAATGCTGCTGGCAATTTAATGGGTATATCTTCTATACTCTTCACCACACACCAGACCACTTAACCTGCACCAGATGCACTTGGGATGTTTTTGTTTACTTTTGTCTGTTTGCTGAAATCTTACTGCTGCCTCACCCCAATAAAAATTAATTGTTCCCTGTATATCTTTACCATCAGAGCTTCCTCTCATCTTAAGCAAATTCCATTTGTAAAAGTCCAGTTTTATGATAGAAACAAAGTATTGTTTTCAAAAATGTTCACAACCAATTCTTTAAGTAATTAAAACCGTGGGTATTTAAAAACAGAATTCTATATACAGCAGTTTGGTTTTCTGGTACAGATCTGGCAAGATCTAGTAAGAAAAAGTTTTTTACTTTGTCCTCCAATGAGAATTAACAGGCGGTGTTCGTGGTCCAGTGGCAATAATGAATAGGTTGAGGGACAGATAGGCAGCTCAGGGGAAGTCCTGAAGCAGCACGGCTCATTTGTCCTTGCTGGGGTGCTGATCCCTCGGAAGCCCCACTTACGTCAAGATGAGGTGAGAGGCTGTGGACCAAGGGCACAAGGCTCAAATAGGAACCCAGTACCAGAAAAGAAGCTGTGACCGTTAATGATGATTAATGCCTTTGTGCGTTTTAGAACATCGAGCTGAAGGTTGAAGTGGAGAGCCTGAAACGAGAACTCCAGGACAAGAAACAGCATCTGGATAAAACATGGTGAGTGTCATTTGAACGAGACGAGCTTTGGCCCTTCCTAGAGTTTGGCTCACTAATCTGAGAGCAATAGATTTGGAACCAAGTTCCCCTAACCCTTCTCTGGCATTTGAATGTTATGCCTGATTCAGGAATTGGAACAGTCAGTATTCATGTGCTTTCTTTTCCTTGAGCTGTCTGTTTGTTACTAAGTCAAATATACCTTGCCATAGATTGGTAAATACACCAGACCTAAGGTTTTAAACGTCCTGTTACACATCAATCAACTAATCACTTTGAGTTGAAAGAGACAAATGCAAATAAGTTTAATCAAAGATCTATACACCAGACTCTTTTTTTTTTTTTTTTTGAGTTGGAGTCTCACTGTCGTCCAGACTAGAGTGCAGTGGCTCCCGGCCACCGCAGCCTCGACCTGCTGGGTTCCAGCCATCCTTCCGCCTCAGCCTTTTAAGTAGCTGGAACTACAGGCACGCGCTACCATGCCCAGTTTATTATTATTATTTTTTTGAGTTGGAGTCCCACTCTGTCGCCCAGACTGGAGTGCGGTGGTTGCTCTCAGCCACCACAGCTTCGACCCGCTGGGCTCCGGCGATCCTTCCGCCTCAGCCTTCCGAGTCGCCGGAATTACAGGCATGCGCTACCAGGCCGGCTGATTTTTTGATTTATTGTAGAGATGAGGTCTCGCTGCCCAGGTGGGTCTTGAACCCGCGGGCTCAGGCAATCCACTCACCTCAGCCTTCCAAAGGCGTGGGATTACAGGCTGAGCCACCGAGCCCGGCCACCAGACTCTTTAACATTGCCTGTATGATCTCATTCTCGGGGAAGTGAGATCAGAGTTTGTGATGGCGAAAATACTTGATTTTTTTCTTTATATACTTTTGCATTATTAAAATGGTTACTTTTATAATTTATGGTTTTAAAATCATCATATTAAATGACAAGTATTATTACAATTTTTTTTTCATTCTTATTATAAAGATGTGGGGTTATTACAATTGTTACTAAAAATATTTTCAGGTTGTATCTTGGAATCAGCCTACATTCAGTCTGATCTGGCATTCCTTCTTTGTCTACAGTATTTCTTGATATTTAGGATGATAATCCAGCAAGATCAGAAATCAAAACCAAATTCAATTATACACAAAGTGCTGGTATTCAATTATACACAAAGTACTAGGGTACTTTCTAGGGCATTAAGTGAACTAATAGATTTTAGAAATAATAATTGAGTAATAAAGTTTGAGATTTGTACAATGCTTTGCTTTTTAAAAAAAATATGTGTGTCATCTGAACTTTGAATTAGGTGACATTATCCTATTTTGAGAAATTAGAAAACTAAGGTTCAGTCTTCTTAAATCTGTGGCAGAGCCCATATCTTCTGGCCTCAGATTCTCGGGCTTCTGACTTCACAACAGCTGTAGTCTCATAAATAAGATATTCCAGCTAGCTGAGTTACTCAGAAAATGCATAGAGATTGTAGTAGTTAGCAGTTATCTATTGCATTTATCAAGGAATATGGAGTCAAATATGGAGTCAAAGTAAAAGTTGCCATGTCCTGAGTTGTGCCTATTTTGGGGTCTTGGGTTACTCCCAAGACTTTTGTCGCCTTGTGTGACCAAGATCCTCATACCCCCAAAAGGCTATATGATGACAAGAGAATTTAAGATAAATATAACCTCTGGGATGGTGCTGAGTAGTGTCCACTATCAATCAAGGAATCTTTAGATGAGACTCATTTAGTCTCCATGGACACAACCCCTGAGCCAAATATTAAAGTACCACTGGTCTTAGTGCCTTATGAACTGATAAAAATGTTCTCTGCCCTGGAAGATGACTTATGGTTCTTAACAAATGACTTAAAACAAGAATAAAACCAAACCGGAATTAAAATCATTTAACACCTGATCCTACCCCAAAATGTCTAATCCACAGACATTGAAGGACAGCTGTTGTTTGCTGTAAATAAGTTAGTGATACCGTACCTGCTTCATGCTAGTGCCTGGACATTCATTTCTAGGGATACCAGAGAAGCAAAGCTCAGCCAAAATTCTGAGCTTCCATAGATTAAATGTTTTCTCTCTGCATAGGACCACAGAAAAACTGGGTAGAACTCTGGATAGAATGCCCAGATTCAGAACAGTCTATTAAGGTTTACTGACTGGAAAGGAACAGAGCATTTCTGTGGCTGTCCAGATGGCTATCCTGTTACAGCAACCTAAATGTAAAGATATTTGAAATTCAAATAGCAAGAAAGATACGGAAGTAGCCAGGCACTCTAGGAAAGCAGGCTCAGTGGGAGAGTCCTGGGACAGATGACAGTGCCTGTGAATGCCGACCTCTGAAACTTGTGATGACTACCTGCCTTCCAAATGAAAGTTCCTCCTCTTGAAGCTGTGGCAATAACGAGGCCTCTAGGAAGACAAACGTATTCTGACTTGACAAGCAACAAATAATTAGAGTTCCTGAAAAATTACTGAAAAGGTTGAAAAGCTCGGTTCCACAGATAATCGTAGAAGGAAGAAAGGCTTCATTTTTCTTCTTATCAGTGTGACTGACTTACTGGAACAACCCTAGTGGGTCCACTTGCTAAATTATGCCTGACTCTGGCGAATGTTCTGTGGTTTTAGGACTGATGTGGAGAATCTCAACAGCCACAATGAAGCTGAGCTTCGGCGCCAGTTTGAGGAGCAACAGCTGGAAACGGAGCATGTTTACGAGGTCTTGGAGAATAAGATTCAGCTTCTGCAGGAGGTGAGTAGGTGTCGCAAAAGTCTGCGACTGGGGGTCCTCTTTTGCCTTTTCCCTACTGCCCTGACTTCTGCACTCACCTTTTCCCTCTCTACTTCTCTCCCAAATTCAGGTGTCCTTGTACTGGGGGGTTGCTAACCTAAGTATGACTTTGCAGCCTCTCAGTTTTCGTTCTTTTTGCAGGAATCCAGGCTAGCAAAGAATGAAGCTGCCCGTATGGCAGCTCTGGTGGAAGCAGAGAAAGAGTGTAACCTGGAGCTCTCAGAGAAACTGAAGGGAGTCACCAGAAACAGGGACGATGTACCAGGAGACCAGGTCAAGCCCTACCAATACACTGAGGCCCTGGCCCAGAGGGACAAGTAGGTGTCTTGATGCTCTTTTTGTCGCTTATCTCTTGCCTGTTCTCAAGGCTATGAATGCATACAGCAGTCACACTGTTCCCTTTTAAGGACTGACAGTAGAATCTTCACCATTTCCCAAGACTGTACGGCCCTGCAACAAAAGATGTTCTTTTTAGCGTTGAATCTTTAATGGTATCCTTTAAGAAATTTTACTTATTGGCAGTCAGGAGCCTAAGTAAGTGTGAGTAGAACAATGAAGTGGCCAAATGATGGCAAATAAGAGACATGGATTCACTTCTTCAGCAAACATTGTTTGAGCACCTATTACCTACCAGACACTGGGCTGAGCACTGTAGTCAGAGAAATGAAAGACTCAGTTCCTGTCACCAAGAAACACGTTACATGATTTTGATATGTTCCCTGACAGAAGTAGAAAGGGATGCTCTGGGACATACTGGGTGGTCATATATTCCAGACTGAAAGAGCAAGATGCCTACTGTGGTCCTGTCCTCAATTCAAATGTTGAAATCCTAACCCCCAAGGTAATGGTATTAGGAGGTGGGTCCTTTGGGTGGTGATTATATCACGAGGTAAGCGCCCTTATGAAATGGGATTAATGACCCTGTAAAGAGGATTCCAGAGAGCTACCTAGCCCCTTCTATCATATGAGGATACAGGAAGAACGCATCCTTTATCAATCAGACTTCAGGCCTTCGCCAGACGTTGATTCCACCAGTGCTTTGATCGTGGACTTCCCCGTCTCCAGAGCCATGAGAAATATATTTCTGTTGTTTATAAACTACTCAGTTTATGGCATTTTGTTTATAGCAGCCCGCATGGATTAAGACAGTATCATTGAAGGTTTCCTGGGGGAGGTGAAATCTGAGCTGAGTTTGGAGGCATGAATAGGAGTGAGAAGAAATGGGAGAGGAAGTACGTGGGGAAGGGAAATGTCCTGGGCAGAAGGAGAAACCATGGAAAGAAGACACAGGGAAAGGGCTATTTCAAGAACTTCAAATAATTTGCTGTGCAATTAGAACAGAGGGTCTGAGGAAGATGAGTGAGAAGCAAGCTGTTTGGGAATAGGGGTCCGACTGTGTCTCACATGAAGAAACTTGGGTTTTGCCCTGAAGGTCACTGGGCAGTTGTGGAGGTCATCATCGTTCATGTCTGGGCTACTGCAACATTTTTCGAAATCTTCTGTCTCCAGTTCTGCTCCTCTGTTCAATCTCAATCTAACAATTCAGAAAAGTTTTGAAGTAGAGATTTCAACAACATCAAACTGGCAAATAATTTGGCCTCTTAGATACATAGTATAGTGGTATTAAAAGCACAAGGACTTGTATACCTAATTCTGAATTGCACCCCACATCTTCAAAATGATAATTTAAAAAGCCACGAGGAGCTTTTAGTAGACAAAAAGCACAAGTGAACACAATGACCAAAGTAATCTCTCGGAGACATAAATTTGATCTTGTCATTGCAAAGCTACTTACAAAGCTTTCTAATATCTTCAGAAGTTATAAGATCCAAACTCTTTCATGGGACCTTTTATGATGCAGCCCTCTGATTTCCCCAGACTCATCACCCACTGCCACCCCTTCACACTTCACTTATGCCAGGCGAGTAATAATGATGATGACTAAGGTTTCGGCTTACTGTATTGCTCAGCTGAATGCTTTCCATGCTTCTTTAACAACCCCATGAAATAGGAATTATACTTTGTTAATGAAGAAACTGGCATTCAGAGAGTTGTGCAGCATGGCTTCAGACATCACTGAAACCCGGACCCTGAATGCCGACTGCCTTCAAAAGCAAAAAAGCTATACTAGGTCTCCAGAATTTTGCTCGTGCTCTTCCTTCCTTGGGAAACCTCTACGGCCTGTTTCTCTTCTGGTGAACGCTTATTCGTTCTTCAGACCTTTCTAAGGCATCCGTCGTTACTTCTCTGAGGGCTTTTGTGACATCAGAATGAAGTCTCTTTATGGTTATTTGTTTATGTATACATATCCACACTGCACAGTTTTCAACATGGTGTCGCATTTGCTTTGAGATCTTCCCTGTTAGAGTCCCCAAGACTGTGTCTCATCTCTCTATCCCAATCAGCACTTTTTAATCTAAAAAACCAAAACAAAACCCTGAGAAAAGCACATGCACATCTGGCAGTTATACTGAGGCAGTTCATATCAGAGGGCCTTGAACAATTCAGAGTCGGAGAATAGATCAGCCGTAGAAACTGAGGATCAAAGGCATGAGCGAGGCTTGAGAAAAGTGGCAGCGTCCCAGCACAGATGCCGTGGAGAATTTTATGTGGCGTCTACATTCACCCTCATCGCCACATCATCGTCACAGCTCACGTTCACATAATGTCTCTAAGTTTTTAGAACATCTCTATTTTTTTCATCACCACCACCACCACCATCACAGCTTACGTTTTTATAATGCTTTAACTCTTTTTTCAATTTTTGTTTTTTAAGGTTGTGGGGCACAAGTCAGGACTGGGCACACAAGTGTTTTGGGGGCGGGGTAAGTTTCGCGACTCCCACTGGACCTCATTCCCCTGGATTAGGGTCAGGCCCCCTTATTGCTGTTATGTGCCCTCCCCCGGCTGTGTCCCACTACTGCCAGTTGCTTTTTTGTGGTATCGTAACAGGTGTTCAGGGTCCACTTACGAGTGAGAACATGGGGGACTCAGTTTTCGTTTCTGTGATCATTCACTGAGTATGATAAACTCCAAATACACCCAGGTTGCCGCAGAGTCCACACTTTTGATCTTCCTTATGGCTGCATAATATTCCATTGTGTATATGTACCACATTTAAAAAATCCAGTCCAGTTTCAGTGGGCAACACAGTGGGTTCCATGCTTTTGCTATTGTGAATACTGCTGCAATAAACATGTGTGTGCAGTTACCTTTTTTGCAGAGTGATTTGAGTTCCTCTGGGTATATTCCCAGAAGGAGGATCACTGGGTTGTATGGAAGGTCAATTTCTAGTTCTTTTAGAAATCACCACACAGTTTTCTATAGATGCTGAACTAGTTTGCATTCCTACCAACAGTGTAGAAGCCTTCCCCTTTCTCCACATCCTCACCAGCATCGGTTTTTATTTTTATTTTTTAAATTAATGGCCATTCTTACTGGAGTCAGATGGTATCTCAATGTGGTTTTAATTTGCGCTTCTCTGATGATTAGTGAAGTTAAACATTTTTTCATGTGTCTGTTAGCTGCTCATATACCTTCTTTTGAAAAATGTCCATTCATGACTTTTGCCCATTTTTTAAATGGAGTTGTTTGCATTTTTCCCTTTTGGCACATTTGAGTTCCTTGTAGATCCTGGATGTTAGGGCTTTGTCAGATATACAGTCAGCACATACTTTTTTCCATTATGTGGGCTGTTCTCTCACTCTCTTGATGGTTTCTTTTGCTTTGTAGAAGCTTTTCACGTTGATGAGGTCTCACTTGTCTATCTTATCTCTTATGGCATGGGTATCTGGGGTTTTGATCAGGAATTGGTTGCCTATTCTAATTTCTATAAGCGTGTCTCTTGTGTTTTCTAAGATTCTTATAGTTTGAGATTTTATGTTAGGCCTTTAATCTATTTGGAGTTGATTTTTGTGTATGGTGATAGGTAGGGATCCTGTTTCATTGTTATATATGTGGTCAGCTAGTTTTTCCAGCACCATTTACTGAATAGGTTCTCCTCTTCCAAATGGTTGTTGTTGGAGGCTTTGTTGAAGATAAGTTGGTTGAGAAATTGAGGTTTTGCTTCCAGAATCTTTATTTTGTTCCATTGGTCTATATGCCTGTTCTTGTACCAATACCAGGATGTTTTGATTATTGTAGACTTAGAATAAAATTTAAAGTCTGTTTTTAAGTTTTTAAAATTTCTTTTTATCCTCAAACCTTAACTGACCTCACACCCTAAATGAATTTATAATTTGTCTATGAGATTTCTGCTTTCTGATGTCCCTCACCTTTCTGCCAAGCTATTTTCCTCCTAAGGTGCTACCATTATCTTATACACATACACAGAAATAATAATCACAAGTAGAAACATTTCATCTAGTACTCAGCACATTTTCAAGGAAGTTTCTCTTGTGCTCTAACACATACAGAGAAACAGTAAAATATGCCTTGCACATAGCAGATGATCAATAACTGCTGATTTGAGCTTGTGGCTTGTGTACTTCTGCATAGCATGCACAGTCTTTTTTAAAACTTACTCCTAGTCTGAATTTCTAGTCTCTTCTCCAGCCATTGTTTCTTTCCTCCAGCCTTTCTTTCAGTGACTCTTTCTCAAAATATACATTGTCTCTTTATGCCTTCATTCTTTGTTCAATCTCCCTTCGAGCCTGGAAAACAACCCAGTCTTCAAAATCTCTTCTAAGCTTCCTCCAAGTCAAATGAATCACTTTTTTGTCTTCCTAGAGCTCCATGGCAGCACTCAATGTACTATACAGGACTTCTCTTATGGTAGCACTTATTGCATGCTATTACTGTTGTTTATTTATGTAAGTTATGCATCTCTTTTTTTTTTTTTTTTTTTTTTTAGTTAGAGTCTCACTCTGTCGCCCAGACTGGAGGGCAGTGGCCACTCCCGGACACCGCAGCGTCGACCTGCTGGGCTCCGGCGATCCTTCTGCCTAACCTTCCAAGTAGCCGGAGTTACAGGCATGCGCTACCATGCCCGGCTGATTTTTTGATTTATTGTAGAGATGAGGTCTCGCTGCCCAGGCGGGTCTCGAACCCGCGGGCTCAGGCATTCCACTCACCTCAGCCTCCCAAAGGCGCGGGATTACAGGCTGAGCCACCGAGCCCGGCTGTTATGCATCTCTTAATGACAGAATACATTCTGAGAAACACGTTGTTAGGCAATTTCACTACTGTGTGGACATCACAGCGTGTACTTACACAAGCCTACATGGTACAGCCTACTGTACGTCTAGGTCTTCTGGTTTAGCCTATTACTCCTAGGCTACAAGCCTCGGAGCATGTTGCTGTACTGAGGTAGACAGTTATAACACAATGGTTGCTATTTGTGTATCCAAACAGATCTAAATGTAGACAAGGTACAGTAAAAATACCATATAAAGGATAACGGTACACCTGTATCGGATGCTTACCACGGATGGAGTTTGCAGGTCTGGAAGTTGCTCTAGGTGAGTCAGTGAGTGAAATGAAGGCTTAGGACATGATTACACACTGCTGTAGACTTTTTAAGCACTGTACACTTAGCCTACTGTGACTTTTGTGATTCTATAAATTTTTTTCAGTTTTTGACTATTTTGGTATGACACTAAGCTTAAAATACATATTTTACAGCTCTAAAAATACTTTCTTAATATCCTTATTCTGTAAGCTTTTTGCTGTTTTTAAATTTTCAAATCTTATTTAACTTTTTAACACGTGTTTAAAACACAAACACATACATCAACATAGGCCCCCGCAGGTTCAGGATCATCAATATCATTGTCTTCCATCTTCACATCTTGTCCCAGTGGAGGTCTTCAGGGGCAATTAACATGCATGGAGGTATCATCTCCTGTGGTAACAATGTCTTCTGGAATACTTCCTGAAGGACCTGCCTGAGGCTTTTACAGTTAACGCTTTTGTTCATGAGTAGAAGGAGTATACTCTCAAACAACAATAAAAGTATAGTATAGTAAACACATAAGCCAGTAGCATTTATTATCATTACCAAGTATTATGTACTGTACATAATTATATGTACTAGACTTTTATATATAACACTAGAAGTGCAGTAGGTTTATTTATACCAACATCATCACAAACGTATGAGTAATGAACCATGCTACAATGTTATGACAGCTACGACCTCACTAGGTGATAGGAATGTTTCAGCTCCACAATTTTATGGGATCACCGTTGCATAAGTAGGCCTTCACTGACTAAAACATCATTATGCGGAGTGTGATTGTAACTGTGTCTCCTTACCCTCCAAACCATTAGCATGCATGCTAAAGGAATTGAAGTTTCTGTACAACAGTGATTGTTTCTTTTCAACTTCATATTCCCAGTACTTGGAGGAGTGAATTGAGTTTGTTCAGTGGTTATCCAAGAACTATTTCTTTAATGGAACAGCAGCAATGACCAAAAACAACATGTGGGCCCTTATTCTAATAGTTACATACCTATAACTATAGATAGTTCTGTAGATCCATGAACTTGGTGAAACGTAAGCAGAAAGTTGTGTGTGGATATATTTGAGGACTGGGAACACCATACGTGGCTTTCTGAAGAAAAAGCGTTAAAGGTTTCAATGATCCAAAAGAATAAGACCTTGCAGTATTAGACAGTGTTGCCTTTGAAATGGGCTTAAAAAATAAAGTGATCATAGTATCATGACCATAATTGCTGTTCTTACTTATTCTTTGCTTCAGGAGGATTAAAGAACTGAGTCAGAGCCTGGCTGCCCAGGAGAGGCTTGTAGAACAGCTATCTCGAGAGAAGCAACTGCTACACCTGTTGGAGGAACCAACAAGCATGGAAGTGCAGGTAAGCTTTGGGTTGTACTTCCAGAGGCACTTGTTTCATGCTTTCCTGTGTCCAACTTCTTAATATCTAAGTATATTAGTTATCTGCTGGTGTGTCACAGAATACTATAAACTTAGCAGTTTAAAATAATATATATTTATTATCTCACAGTTTCAGTGAGTTAGGAATTCAGATGTAGCCTATCTGAGTTTTCTGCTCAGGGTCTAATAGAGTGAAATCAAGGTGGGGGCTGGGCTATTTTCTCATCTAGAGGCACGCCTGCTTCTAAGCTTCTCCAGACTGTTGGAAGAATTCACGAGGACTGACAATTAAGTTTGTGAACTCATCCTAGAAAAAGTGCTATGTTGCTGAATATCACTACAGTCACCTTCAAAGTATCTCCTTTGGGAAGCTGTGCATCAGTGCCAGTGCCTCGTCCTCCTGTTAGAGCAGTTTTGGAGTTCCTTCTGGAATGGCCATCAGAGCTGTCACTGTGCGACCCTTGGTGTCCTGAATGCCATCAAAATGTCTGTCAGTATTTACTTGATCTTTGGGTAAAGAAAATAGTCACTGGGGGCCAGATCAGGGGAGTAGGGAGGGTGTTCCAGTATAGTCATTTGTTTACTGGCTAAAAACTCCCTCACGGACAGACAGGGCTGTGTGAGCCGGTGCAGTGTTGAGGTGCAAGAGCTCCTTCAGGACCATTTTCACACACGCTTTTCTCATGCCAAGGTTTTCAGTTAAGATTTTCCTAACCATTTCTGTCGATGCTCATTTGGTTTGCTGTGGGTCTCACAGTCAGCTGGTGGTCTTGATGCACAATTCGATGAAATTTTGCCACGTTTTTGTCAATTCTGCACGTTACTGGCCGTCCTGACCTCTGTTCGTCAGTAACGCTTTTTCTTCCCTCAGAAAAACGTTGACTCCATCTGTGCTTGCCATTTTCTTTGTGACACTGTCTCCGTAAACTTGGACTAACACGTCCCTGAGTTCACTTTCACTCTTGCCAAACTTAACAAGAAATTTAATGTCTGTTTGTTGCTCTGATCCAAGCTCTGACATTCTTGCAACGGCACCCAGAAACATGCAGCAACAATAATGAATGCCATTCAGCAAGACACCGCCAGACCTTGGTACAGACACAGCTGTGAGACACTGATGTGCCAAGGTCATGAAACTTTCCCGAGTTGTTCTGTGCTGCCAAAGCAAGTGTGCAGTGGCAAGTCTGTGAACGTGATTGTCAGACCCCACATGCACTGACATTCTATCACTTTTGCCATACTCTATTATCTAGAAGCAAGCTTCAGGTTCTGCCCATTCTCTGGGGGTGGGGATTACACAAAGGAATGGATGTCAGGGAGTTAGGAGTAACATGGGCTGGGCGACAGAGTGAGACTCCAACTCAAAAAAAAAAAAAATGTTGCCCAACATACTGAGTGATTTAAAACTATATAGCACATATACTGTAATGTGGTTTTCACCTCACTGTGGTGAAAATAATCGCATTGATTTTATCTGTATTTTTGTAGAAGGGAATTCCCTCAAATTCCCTTCTCCAGTCGCCTTTTATTTTGCTAAAAATGTACTTTCTAAATGAACCCTAGAATATATCTGTGCCCAAGAAATATAGACAGTTACCAAGTAGTCTTACATTCTTACATTCTTAGAGCAATGATAAAATAAAATGTGTGGTTTACTTTATCGGTTCACATATACAAAGTTGGGGATCAGAATAAAAGAGTGGTAAGAATTTGTGTAAACTACTCCTTCCAAACCTCTTCCATGTCATGGCATATATAGCAAATGATAATATTGGTAAGATAAATATAATATATGTAAATAAATGAAGCTTCTCACTTGGAGGTGGCCAGTTTGGGTGCTTAGGCCACAGTAAAGGCAGAATAAATCATTATCCTGGTCACAATTGTAAACCTCTTAGACTGTAGCTCCATTTTGGTTGGCTTTTGGGAGCCAGCCACGGAGGCCCACTGAGCGTTAGGGATCAGGAAGGGCCGTAGACCCCGAGACCTCTAGGACGTGTTCGGGAGCTGTTGACCCATTCCCTCCCTCCTCTTCCATTTGGCACAAACTCCAAGAAAAGCTTCAGCTGGCTTTAACAGAAAACTTTGAGACCGGAACGAACACAGCTAACCTAGGAGTCTATTGTTCCCATTCCCCACGGCTTTGGTCTTTTGCTTTATCACAATTTAAGTTTGGCTTTGAGTCACACTGAGGAGCCTTAGTGCAGGTCACAGGTTCTCTTGATGCGACCTTTAGAAATTTATAGATATAGGTTTTAGAAAATAGTTTATATAGATTAAGAAAACTTAAGTAACCATTTTATTATAGAAGTATGGTTAGTTCAGTTTGATTTAGGGGGGCTAGTGAAGTTTGAATTAGGCCAGCTGGTGCTAGGAGAGTGTAACCATAGCAGCAGTTGTTTTAATAAAAACTAGTTCCAATTAGTACATAATAGTGGAAGTTAATAATTCACTATGGTGGTTTTGGGTTTAGACATTGAGTGATGTTAATTTAAGATGATGTAGTTGTAATACAATTCAGGGCACATAAAAAACTGGCTTGGGGAACATTAAGTTAGCATAAGACACAAAAAGACAATTTGTGGTTGTTCTTCCTCATGTTCTTCCTTATGTATGAAAGAACATTTGCTTGAGAGTGGGGGGTGTCCTTTGCTTACCTGGACCTGTTCATGTGAAAGGCACATGCTACCTTTGTTTCCTGTGTTGATGACTTTGCAGAGGTTGGGGATAAAAGCCCTGAGATTACACCCATTACACGGCTTCTGGTCACTTGAGCAGGAGTCTAGTCTCTTTCTTTCTCCCCTCTTCTCTTTCTCTTTATCTTTCCAGAATATTCACCGACACTGCCACACCTTCCAATGGACCCCTGTAAATCTCTCTGCGGGGGCTGGCCCCCCGCAGTTGGCAAGCTCTGGCTAACAAAATAAATTATGTTGTTTGCATTTAATTTTACAACTATAAATAAAATTAAAGTTTCTAGGTTTTTTGCAAGATACCTATTGAAATATATGGAAAGTTTCTTAAGGGATTCTTGAAAAGATTTCAGGCTGGACACAGTGGCTCATGCACTGTGGGAGGCCCAAGCAGGAGGATCACTAGAGTCCAGGAGTTTGAGACCAACCTGGGCAACATTATGAAACCCTGTCACTACAAAAAAGTTTAAAAATTAGCCAATTATGGTGGTGCATACCTGTCGACCTGCCTAGCTACTTGGGAGGCTGAGGCAGAAGGATTTCTTGAGTCTAGGAGGTCAAGGCCTGGGTAGCACAGAGTAAGACCCTGTCACAAAAAGAGAAAATATTTCATAACACATTTTAATTAAAAATTATGAAATAAGAAAAACTGTATTTCTATCCTGATTATTTATGACTATGAATTTGTCACTTCTTAGCTTCCACATGTATAGAATGGGACTATTAGCCCAAACAATCTCTAAATTCTCCAATAATGCTAACATTCTACTACAATGACTCCCACATCACTGGATAAAAAGTATATTGTCCCCAAGGTGATCATTTTAAAAGAAATAATGCTTGTGTACATTCTGAAATAAAATCACTTTCATTGCTCTAATTTCATATTTACAGAACATAAATACTTAAATATTTATATACATATACTTATTTTCATGATTATTTATGGTACGCACTGAAATGGATATATATAATTCAGTATTTGCAATACTAATGAGGGGAATTGGTTTGGTATCAGTTTTCAGGGTAGATTTAAGGAAGAGACAGATTATAATTTCAAAGAGACTAAATTATTTACATACTATTCTGAAAGAATGCTTAGAAAAAGGATAATAAATTGCAGGACCATTGGGCAAAGAAAGAAATGCATCAAGTCATATACATTGTACTAAATTAATATGCTTCTTTAATGTTGTCTGGTGTCTGTAAAAACTCATTTTTATTACCCCAAACCTGGTCTATTGCGGTTAATTCTATAAGACAGTGTTTCCCAACCTCTTCAAAGAAAATCCATTTTCACGGGAGATGATTATGCATCTATGATATTCTGAAATCTGGAGGTGATTGTCCATAGCCACCTTGGGACTATCCACCACCCTGACAGCCGAGGGGAGCAGCACCTTTGCACAATGGTGGGCCATTGGGAGGCACACTGTGCTGACACCCAGCTGGAAAGCTCTGCCACAGGGGGCTGCTGAGAGGAGGTCCTCTCAGGTGTGGAGGACAGAAAGCCTCCCACAGCACAGTTCCTGGTTTCTCCCTTTATGTCTTTGGCCAAGGACTGGAAATATGCGCAGGATTATTTTATTTGCTCGTCTGTTTGTTTGAGACAGGGTTCTGCTCTGTCACTCAGGCTGGAATGCAGTGGCACGATCATAGCCCACCATAAGCTCGAGCTCCTCCTGGACACAAGTAATCCTTCTGCCTCTGCTGCCCAAAGTTCTGGGATTACAGGCATGAGACACCACATGCAGCTAGATCATTTTATATTATCATTTCCCCAAATTGTCTGTAGAATCTTGTGAAACTACCTTCTTCTCTAATGTGTATTCAAATTCCAAAGGAAAAGATAAGATTTTGGTCACTGTGCTTCTATTTTATACTCTGTGGCCTAGACAGAAATTTCAAAATGATTTTTATAATATCTTGAGAACTTTTTGCCATACTTAAGTGGTTCAGATTGATTTATGGGGAGATAACAGTCAAGTCCAAGTTCAGAGAAAGACGCTTGATTCTTTCATAACTGATTCTAGTGTGAAGTACCCTGGATTTTTAATCTGGAAGCAAAATGGTATGAAAAGATTAACTCGGGTTCTGGAATTTGAATCCCAGCATCACTACTTTTTAGATGTATGGCCTTGGACAAATTACATAACTCCTCCAATACAATTAGATTCCTTTTCTGTAAAATAGAGATAAAAATATCTAGCTATTTGTAAGGATTAGAAATAATGTATATGAAGTGCACAGCATACAAGGGAGGGCCCAGAACAATCCAGAATTATCT